GTGCATGCAGATTTGTCAGGACCCATGCCAACACCTTCTTTAGCTGGGTCGAAATGGGTTTTGGTTCTGATTGACGATTTTTCGAGGTTTTCTTGGGTTTTTGCGCTTCAATGTAAGTCAGAAGCAGCTGCACTGATCAGAGATTGGATCACAGCGATAGAGCTGCAGTTCTCTACCAGGGTGATTTCCTTTCAATCTGATCGCGGGGGTGAGTTCACAGGTTCTGCGCTGCAATCGTTTTTCAGGCAGAAGGGTATCAGTCATCGATTGACTGCCCCTACAGTCCGCAACAGAATGGGATTGCAGAGAGGAAGTTTCGCACACTACAGGAATCAGCAAACGCAATGTTGGCAGATTCGGGGTTGCCACAGCGTTTTTGGGCTGAGAGTTATCGGACAGCATGTTTTGTGCAGAATAGGGTGTACAATTCCAGTGTAGACAACACACCGTATTTTTTGTTGCATCAGAAGAAGCCGAAGGTGGGGTTTTTTCATGTTTTTGGGTCTCCGGCTTGGGTTCTCACTCCAAAGGCCATGCGCAGAAAGGGTGAGCCAAGGTCTAGGAAGATGATCTTTGTGGGCTATGAGCCGGGTTCAAAGGCGTGGCGTTTCGCATACCCTACTGGCAACCAGTCCAAGCTGCTTATTAGCGGCAGTGCTGAGTTTTGCGAGCAGAGTGGGTGGAAACGTCTTCACGGGAACCCAGATGTTCTGTCAGACTCAGATGAGGAAGAGGAGGAAGGCGAGGCTGAACCGGCTGCTGGTGCGCACGGTCCACAGCAACAGGGTCCAGCGCCAGTTTCTCCAAAAGGGAGTCCCAGGACCCCTCCACAGGTTTCTGTCAAGTCTGAGCCAAAGAGTGAGCCCTCCCCGCCTGCAGAACCAGTTGTGAGGCCAAAAAGGCGCAGCAGGTCAGAGGGGGAGGTTTCTGACACAGGAGATGGTAGGGTTGATCCAGGTGAATCAGGCGCAGTTCCAGAATTCACGCTGAGGAGGTCAGCAAGATCAACGAAAGGAAAGCCACCTGAAAGGTATGAAGCCACTAGTGTTTGGGTTGGTGTGGCTAGGTGTGAACCTGAATCCTTTGAGGATGTTCAGAAGTTGCCTCAGCAAGAAGCTAGCAAATGGCGCGAGGCGATGCAGAAGGAGATGAACTCAATGGAGTCTCATGGTGTGTTCTCACTCACACAGCTGCCGGCTAACCAGCGAGCTGTTACTTGCAGATGGGTTTACCGATTGAAACCCACAGAAGCAGGAGAACCACAGTATAAAGCGAGATTAGTGGCCCGAGGATTCTCACAGAAAAAGGGGGTACACTTCACGGAAGTGTATTCGCCAACCTCGAGAGCAGAGACTCTGAGAATGCTTTTGGCGATAGCAGCACAGAGAGGTTGGAAGGTGAACCATTTTGATGTAGATGTCGCCTACCTGAACTCAGATCTCAAGGAGGAGTTGTACATGCTTCCTCCTCCAGTGTTTGAAGTCAGTGAGCCAGGCGTCGTGTGGCGGTTGCACAAATCCATCTATGGATTACGTCAATCTGCCAGGAATTGGAATATGTGTCTACATGAAGCCTTAGAGGAGCTAGGTTTTAAGAGATCTCTTGCAGACAGTTGTCTTTACATTAGAGGTTCAGGCTTAAAACAGCAAGTGGTGCAGGTGTTTGTTGATGATATCTTGGCAATGGCACAAACAGGTGAACAGGTGGAGAAGTTTGCTAAAGAGCTTGGAAAACGGTTCAAGCTGAAGCAGCTTGGAGATGTCAAGTCTTACCTAGGCGTCCAGATAGCGAGGACTGAGGATGGTAGTTTTTTGCTTTGCCAGAAAGGTAAGATTGAACAGTTGCTTGAGAAGTTTAGGATGAGTGATTGTGCAGGAGTGAGAAGTCCTATGGAGACTAGTTTTGTGAAGGACAATCAGCAAGTAGAACGCGCTGCGTTCGAAAATACTGAAGTGTTTCAGTCAGCTCTAGGGAGTCTGTTGTATTTGTCCCAGTGGAGCAGACCAGACATAGCATTTGCTGTCAATCTGCTCAGTAGAGAGGCTGCAAGTCCTAGTGTACAAGCCTGGAATGGCATCAAGAGAGTTCTGAGGTATTTGCAGGAAACCAAAGACTTTTGTCTTAGGTTGTCAGCTCAAGGAGAAGTCAAACTGACTTGCTTTGTGGACTCGGATTGGGCTAACTCTGAGGATCGCAAATCAGTATCAGGTCTAGTGATGAAGTTTGGGGACTCAGTAGTTGGGTGGAGGTCCCGGAAGCAAAGTCTCATAGCGCTTTCGTCTACTGAAGCTGAGTTCAGTGCGCTATCAGATGCTTGCAGAGAGCTGGAGTTCTATGTGTGTTTGGTCGAAGAAATCTGTGAAGAGGATTGTCTGCCCGTTGTGGTGCATGAAGACAATCAACCATGCCTTAAATTAGCTGAGACGGGGCAATTCAAGGCGAGGACGAAACATTTGGACATACGTTTTCAAAATGTGTGTCAGAGCGTTCGAGAGGGGCTAGTTGCTCTGAAATACTGTCCCTCAACCAAGAACCTCGCTGATGGTTTCACAAAACCATTGACCTTCCAGAAGCACGAGGAGTTCTGTGAGGGTCTGTGTATGGGGAAAGCATTGTTGGCTATTGTCCCCAGATGCAGGACAAGAGGGGGTGTGGAGTTTGGAACTGGCAGGGTTAAAACTCCGTGGTGCCCTGTATCTGGGAGGAGCTCTGGGAGGAGCTTGATGCAGGGAAATGCGTCACAGTGTGTGTCTGTGTTCAGTTCTACTTTCACTTCTGACTGAGACAGACACAGCTCAGCTCAGAGGAGCTGTGAGGGTGCTTTTGGAAGCACGGAGAATGGCTGAAGTTTCCGATGGATGTTAATGGATTTATTGCCTTGTAAATAAACGCTTCTAAAGATAAGAACCGATCTGCCTATGGACTTGATTTATCCCTTTCTCACATGGACTCAGGACCGCTGCATTACTCTGCTAGGCCAGCTCAGAGCTTCCAGGGATACGGAGCTGAACTGGGAAGCTTGCTGGACCCAATATTCCGGACGGGGATTTTATTTTCACCCCCAGAATCTTTCCTACCTGTTGGCTCTAACTTCCAAGCAACTTGCACCTTCAGAAGAACACAGCCTATGCTTTCTTAATTAGTCACCGAATGGGGATTAATGGTATCAAAATACCAGCTGTCAGTTTCCGTGCTTTCAAAGTGCCGTTCAAGAGCAGGGCCTGTCAAACGCATCTGGAAACCCAGATGTTGCTTGCAGAAAGTTTTGGTTTGTTTGTTTTTTTCTCTTTTTAAAGCAGATGAAACAAATTGAAAGCTAATGAAGACAAAGATGCAACACAAAGTGAAGGTCCCTGCTCCGGCTTTTTAAAAAAATGCAATTTAAACAAAATCAAAAGGAAACATTAATACAATACAGATGGGCCCCTTCAGAAGGAATGAAGATTTCTCCTCTCTTAGTTTCATCTTCCCAACTTTCCTCCAAGACTTTTTCTTTTCTTTTTCTGTGGGGGGTAGGAAGGGCAGAAAGGAAAATGAAATTTCATCTCCTCTCATCGCTAAAGGCTGATGCTTGAGTGAAGCCCAGGAAGATTCGCAGCAGGCAAACGGCAACAGATTCAATTGGGTTAAGTATTGATTTTCTATAGTGTTTGCACAAGCTATTGAGAAAACAGACAAAATTACTTTCTACTCCCGTTGCTTCTAGGGCTTGAACCTCATGCTGGCATTTTTAGCCTAGTGAGCAACCTGGGAGGGGGTTCCTCACACAGTTGCAGCCTTGCAAGCCAGGCAAAGGGAGCTGTCCAGAAGGAGGAGGTCCTGATGCTAAGCAGTTGAGAAGCTCTCCAGAAGGCTCCTGGCTAGGAGCAGGTCGGCCTTGGAGGCTCTTGGGTCACAAGTTTCCAGTCCGCAACTGGAAGTTTAAGCCAAGGATGGAGAAGCTGTGCTTCTCCAGATGTTGCTAGACAGCAACTCTTATGAGCCCAGCATAGCCAATAGTCAAGAATCATGGGGATTCTAGCCCAACCACATTTAGATGGCCACAGGTCCCTTGCCCTGGTGCTGAAGTACTTGGCCTGGCTACGCCCACCCTTCCACATGCACCATAAGAACACAGGAATACCCTGCTGGATCACAGGTTGCAGCCTCTGACAGTTCTACCCTCCAGTCCTCTTTTAAAGCCATCCAAAAGTTGGTGGCTATTGCTGCTTCCTGGTCTGTGCGACTCCCACCATTTAACTATGCACTGCATGAAGAAGGACTTCCTTTTATCCATCTTGAACCTTCCAGCATTCATGGTCCTGGTCATGCTTATGGCCAGGCTTCTTTCTTCCAGATTTGTATGACTTGGAATGCCTCCTGCAAGCACTTGTACTGCCAAGAACAATTATCAGTTCACACAGGATGTGAGCCTGTTGCTCAGATGTGTGGCTCGTATCCACCAGCAGCCATTTGTCCAAGTTTGTGGCCCTAGTTTTATGGAACTTCCTTTCACTATAGGTCAGACAGCAACCCCCTCCCTGGCAAACATCTGGCATCTATTGAAAATGTTTCTTTTGATCCCACCAGGCATTTAAAACTGAATTCTGATATTATAGTTTAAACTGATTTTTATTATCATTGTTATAAAGCCGCTTGTACACCACTTAGCAACCATTGTTATTAAGCAGTATATTAATGGTTGGAATAAATAATATTTAAACAAAGCGCACCTGTGTGAGACAGAACGATGGCCTGAGTTTTAACCGGTCTCTGATCATGAACAGGTGTGTGTTTTGTTTGGATTTAGCACAATTTGAGTTTCATAGTTTTGCTGAGCATTTTAATGTTCCAATGCGATAGGATTCACAACACCACCACCCAGTATCTCTCTCATCCCACCCTACCACACCACACCCCTGTTTCAGCACAACTGTGGTTTGGTAACGCAGCAATTTTCTACACTGCTTCAAAGCTAAGCAGGCTATAACTCTATGACCGACAATCTGCTTTTACCATACCTTCCACTTTGAAAGGGTGCAATGGGTCAGGAAAGAAAAGGAGACAAAAAGTCATCAGAGGGAATGTCAGACATCACAAAAGAACTGATAGCTGGGTTGACAAGGTCTAAGAGAAGCCCCCACCTCCAGTACAGCACAGGTCTAAAAAGTTTGTCCTCCAAGGAAACACTCAGGAGAACCAAGAGGCAAAACTTTTCCTGGACTGTTATAACTGCACCTTTGAATAGCCCCCCCCACACACAAAAAAAGAAAAAAAAGAAATCCACCACATAGGAAAAAGGGCATGTCAAGGAGGCAGTAGAATGGAACCCTTTTTAAAATATCTGTGGCAAAGTATTGTTTTTCTTCTGAAAAATGCAAACATTCAAACAGGCAGTCCTGTTTGACCTGCGACCTTTAGCAGTCCAGGAAATGCTTTTCTTTGTTATTCTGCTGAATGGATAAAGGTAAAAACAAGAGGAATGTAGCAATAAGAAGGTGAGGGTAAGAGATAGCAAATCTGGAAGAAAAAAACAAGAGTAAACGTACTACCAAAACCCCATCATTTTCTCCAGTGCTGCCCGCTTCAAAAAATGGTATTCAATGATGATTTTTTTAAAAACACACACACACACACACACACACACACACATACCTGCCTGTTTAAGATCAGAATCTCCTATTAGCTCAAGCTCCACAAATTGGAAGCTTAACAGGCCTGCCGTGTTACCAGCAATGGAAGCTGGGGAACACCACCAATTCTGCTGGCTTACAACTTAACCTCCATGCTCCTCCCCACACTTTTCTCCTTGGTCTTTCAGGCCCAAATTTATATAGGCAAACTCCAAATGTTTTGGGACTACAACTCCCATCATCCCAGACCACTGGTCCTGTTAGCTAGGGATGGTGGGAGTTGTAGTCCCAAAACATCTGCAGGGCCGAGTTTGCCTATGCCTGCTATATGGGGAAGATGGGGAGCCTGGGACTGTCAAAGATTCCACACAATTGTCCTGGTTCTGTACTGCTTTTTGAAGCATCAGAGGCTCAGCGTATTGCTAGATCCTCCTGCTAAGATCATAACGCCTAAACACATGCAGGCTCTTTTCGCCTCTAGGAAAAAAAACCCCGTCTGCAGCAGTGTATTCCCGTCAAGCACATGCCATATGTTTTACCAGGCCCACAATCAAACCACTACACCACATTGCCTCTTTACTTTGGATAGGAGCACAGTGGTGGCACAGTGCAAAGTGGGCAGGGAGTATGGGCTAGTAGCTTGAGTGTTTGACTGGCTATGTGGTTCACAGGGATATATTGCCAGAGTAAATCTCTTTCACCGTGATCTACAGCCCTTGATCACCATGAGATAAAACTCTGGAAGAGAACACCACTTTCCTCCTAGCAAATTTTCTGGAGGGGGAGGCTGTGTGTGTGTTTAAGTCTGGAGTGGTGTGTCTGTGAAGAGGGTTCTTGTGGGGTAAGATGTGTGGTGTGTTTCAGTAGGGCATACTGCTCAGTTCGTAGCTCAGTCAGTAGAGCATGAGACTCTTGATCCCAGGGTCATGGGTTTGAGCAATAGTTTCCCTACATTTCAGGGGGTTGGACTAGATGACCCTCATGGTACCTTCAAACTCTACAGTTCTATGATTTTAGGGGGTGAAGAACACCCCACCATAAAAGGGTGGGGTGTTCTTCACAGCTAACAAAGTACCCCACCCCAATTCCTGCAGAAACACCTTTACTCAGCTCAGCTTTAACACTGGTAAATGTTCTTCACTAGATCAGTCCCAACTCCACTCTGCACCAACTTTTGCATTAAGGGCCCCCTTCTGCATTGTAATACTTACGTCTCCATTCATCAGTTTACAGTCATCTTCCATCTCATCGGCGCTGTCCTCATCAGACACTTCTCCTTCCTCTACATCTTCGCTAATGTTAGCTGGAAGTTTCTTCCCCTGGGAGGCAAAAGCATAATTAAGCTGCACAAACTAGAAATAAGAATCAATACAAAGTACTGTATTGATGGCATCTTAGCCAAGTGAGCATTAAAAAAAAAATCACAGAAAGATACATGCACACATTCATTTTTTGCATTTTTATTCCATTTAAGGAGCTCAGGGTAGTACACTCAAATAAGTCCATCTCCCTTATTTCATCTTCACAACAACCCTGTCAAGTAAGCATACCACTGTTTGGGCAGAACATAATTTCTAGCTGCCCCATTTGGGTACCAAAAGAGCAACATCTTCTAATGATGTTTGTGTCATTTTGAAAAGCCAAAACTTCAGCCAAGGCCCAGGTTGCTCTGATACCAATGCCTCAAAATGGAGGAGTCCAAAGCAGGCAGGGTTATATTTATTGACTGATAATCTTCACAGCCACCAAATCTTTTAAAAAAAGGGCTGAATGACCTGAGGTGCTGGGTTATCCATTATGAGTGAAGAATCATCCCAGGTACTTATCAGAAGCTCCATCTAAATGAATCGCTTCAAAGATGGGAGAATTTCTTCAAGAGAGTTGCCATTGATCTCTCGCACTTGAAAATTCAATAGTCTATAAATGGCCACCGCCAGGAGCAGACTGGATGAAAATGCTTGGTGAAAGTTAACTGAACAATGTCAAGCTCTGCGTGATACACACAGGGAGTGTAGAGAGTACAGGTGCAGAATCTTGATGTCCTTGAGGCTCTACCTCCCAACCAGCCCCAACCAGCATGGTCAGTGGGCTGAGATGACACACGTTTCAGTCCAGCAATATCTGGTGGGCCACATGTCCCATAGTCCTGTCTCTACCAGCCAAAGTGGCTGTGTTCTGCCTCCACTGCCATAGGCAGCAAGCCTCTGAGTATATCCGTGCCTGGGAATCACAAGAGAGTGCTGATGCACTCAGCTCCTATAGGCACCTGACTGGCCACTATAGGGACAGATGCTGCACTAGATGGGCCATTGGCCTGATCCAGCAGCCTCTTCTTATGTCCTTATGATGAAAATCCATTCCCAGTAAGGTAAAGGTAAAGGACCGCTATACGGTTAAGTCCAGTCGAAGGTGACTATGGGGTTGTGGCGCTCATCTTGCTTTCAGGCTGAGGGAGCTGGCATTTGTCTGCAGACAGCTTTCTGGGTCATGGGGCCAGCATGACTAAACCACTTCTGGCGCAATGGAACACCGTGACGGAAGCCAGAGTGCACAGAGATGCCATTTACCTTCCCGCTAGAGCGGTACCTATTTATCTACTTGCACTGGCGTGCTTTTGAACTGCTAGGTTGGCAGGAGCTGGGACAGAGCAACGGGAATTCACCCCGTCGCGGGGATTTGAACCGCCGACCTTCCGATTGGCAAGCCCAAAAGGCTCAGTGGTTTAAACCACAGCACCACCCACGTCCTCCCAGTAAGAGTATGCACCGACCACAATATTCATTTTAGACCTCAATTCGGCACTATGGGAAACAGTCCAATTCTGTCTTGGGGGGCTGACCAATTTGATCCAGGTCCAAAAGAAACTAAGTTGTGTGCCTCCCCGTTCACTAAGGGGTGGTGGTGTTATTACGGGGGGGTTATTATATTATTATTGTTGTTATTACTACTGCTACTTAAAAAAAAAAAGCTCTAAGTTTTCTGATAACAGCTATAAGTTTGAAGCAAGCTTGTTTTCTCCTGCTCTGGAGCGTAGGACTCAAACCAATGACTTCGAGTTACAAGAAAGGAGATTCCGACTAAACATCAGGGAAAACTATCGGATAGTAAGAGCTGTTCAACAGTGGGAAAGTCTTCCTTGGGAGGTTGTGGACTCTCCTCCTTCCTTGGAGGCTTTTAAGCAGAGGGTGGGTGGCCATCGGTCATGGATACTTTAGCTGAGATTCCTGCATTGCAGAGGGTTGGGATGAATGACCCTTGGGGTCCCTTTCCAACACTACAATTCTATGATTCCTTTTGGCACAGTTGGATAACATCTTAAGTCAGAATAGCCTCTCACAGTGGATAAAGGTAAAGGGACCACTGACCGTTAGGTCCAGTCGTGACTGACTCTGGGGTTCCGGTGCTCAGCTCACTTTATTAGCTGAGGGAGCCAGCGTACAGCTTCCGGGTCATGTGGCCAGCATGACTAAGCTGCTTCTGGTGAACCAGAGCAGTGCACGGAAACACCATTTACCTTCCAGCCAGAGTGGTACCTATTTATCTACTTGCACTTTGATGTGCTTTTGAACCGCTAGGTTGGCAGGAGCAGGGATCGAGCAACGAGAACTCACCCCGTCGCAGGATTTGAACCACCGACCTTCTGATCGGCAAGTCCTAGGCTCTGTGGTTCAACCCACAGCACCACCCATGGATAAAGACCAACAAATGCCAGACAAACAGCTCCATCAAGTTTGGGGCCAAGACTTTTTTTTTAAGACTCCAGGCCTTGGCTCCACAGCATGTAACCAGCAATGCTGACCCTCTGTTGCTGGCCGAATTTTTTTATATGGGGGTGGGGAGGAGCTTCTATAATGTCTGTCAGCAGCTGATTTTACGGTTGAATGCCTGTTAAAAAAAGGTTTTGCCCAAAATTGCTGTGAAATATTCAGGTTTGTCAAGTATTTTGATTCAAATGCTCCATATATATTTTTTACTTTGGGAAAAAATAGATAACCATGACTAACAGGGCATAGTTAAGGCTATATAAAAAAGAGAAATTCTCCTCTGTTGGCGTGACAGTGTCACTATGTGCTCAGAATGTCAGAGGGCTTATTAGCCCCTTACGCATGTATCTTGGGGCAACAATATGAATTCCATGTGCATACCCACACTCTCCAAACCAAGGTTCTGCTAAGGTACAGTTCCCAAGATTTTATTTTGCAGGGAGGAGTCATGACAGCTAAAACTTGCGTAAAACTGATATTGGCAGCAGAGTAGATGTGAAAAAGACCTATGTCTGTACTTTGAGTCTTTGTTTCATACCTTAAAGGCCACAGCCTTCTATTTCAGGGCTAGCTTCTTCCAGGTAACATCACAGCTCATATCAGTCTCAAACAGTCCTCTCACAGTGATACAAAGCATATAGTGTTTGATTGTTTAGAGACCTTTTGTTTTGCTTCTGCTCTGCATCTAAAAATGTCTTTGGCATTTGTGATGGGTTATTTATTTTACAAATTTATAAACGGCTTCACAGCCAACGTGGTGTACAAGGAGATGAAACAGAAATATTACAACCTCCCCCAAAAGAATGAAAAAACATTCCTACATACTATAAACAATTCCTAGGAATGCACAATTAGTATTTCACAAATGACTGGGTCACAAAACGGGGGGGTGTGGGCGTGAATCGTTGATTGCCTAAACATCAGGATGCTGGGCACCAAATTTCAGCTTGTAACTGATTCCAGAGGGCTGGAGCTACGAGACTTAAAAGCCCACTTTCAAGTACAGGCTAAGTGCACCTCTGGGGCATGTGGTATGCTTGGGAAAACAATTGCTAGACACACAGATATGGGGTGAGGTGATCCCATAGGTAACCTCGACTTAAGTTGCTTAGGGTTTTAAATGCTAAAAGCAAAACCCTTGAACTGCACCTAACAGCATAGTTTTAGCTACAGCAGCTGTCCCAATGGAGGTGCTACAGGTATATGATATCAGCAGGACATCCTTGTCAGCAACCTGGCTGCAGCCCTAAATAAAATTTTAAACAACCTCTTTCTTATTAGGATGTCATACACCCCTCTCCCCCAAAAGCCCCAGTACCTTTGGATAACACTGAATGCCATCTTCATTTGCAAGCTCTTGCCCAGATGCTATAATTTAATTTAGCTTGTAAACTTACTATAGTAAGCCTGAAGAGACTATGAGACTTATCATTATATCTAAGAGCTTTGGTGCAGAGTGGGTGGGGAATCAGCTGAGATTTATGGGATGGCCAAATTGGTGCTACTGTTGAGAAGATTCCAGTTGAGTCCTAGTTACAGTAGACTAGTGTTCCCCAAACCAGGAATGTTTTGGACTACAATTCCCATCACCCCAATTATTGGTGATGCTGGCTGGCTCTGGTGGGAGTTGTAGCCCAAGATATCTGGGGGGCACCAGGTTGGGGACAGCAGCCAGAGACACCCTTCTGCCCAAAATAGTAAGGAGCTGCAGGAGTGCCTAGACTACCTCAAGCTTCACAAAGCACGCAATCGAATTCACCTCTGCAATGAGGCTGCATTTTAATGTTGTATTTTAATCTTGTTTTTAAGTTGTATTTTAATCAATTGTTTTTATACCTGGTGTTAGCTGCCCTGAGCCCGGTCTTGACTGGGGAGGGCAGGGTATAAATTATTATTATTATTATTATTATTATTATTATTATTATTAATGGACAAAGTGAACATAGCTGCAAAACCAAATTGGCCCCCATTCTCAGGCACTGGGAATATTTGAGCCAACATTTAGGCTGACCAATAGGGGAAGCGTTTTTCCATTTGATATATTAACAGACTGCCTCCTACACCCCACCACCACCACCACCACCCCCCAAAATGCAGAGGGTACTTCACTTGCTGCCCTCAAATGTCTATCAAAATGTCAGGCAGCTTGCAAAGAGAGTTAAACAATAAGACCAACAACCTTTGCCACCACTCCAGGGGATATTCCATTCAACAACTTCACCAGCTAGCCGTAACTAAAGGATGGAGGCAATGAGGACTGCTTGGCCGGCACGTAGGAGAGTAACGAGAGGGGAAGCTACAACGGCAGCACTTTGACTGGCTCTCCTGAGGCTAACTTCACAAGCTTCATGCTACATGCCATTAGAGTTTGATTGATGTTAGGAGGATTCCGGAGAGACACTGGCAGTTCAGGCACAGTCAACCATGGTTATTCATTTAGACACACACAAACCTTTGCTGGGTCTACACTGGCTGCGGCCACAGCAAAGAGGAGCGGCCGAGGCACACACTGTGAATCTTAAAATTCGGAATAGTCTCGGGCTGGAAGATGGCTTCCATTCACACACAGACATTGGAACAAATCTAAGCGAAAAGCATGTCTCTGTGTATGTACATATAGTAATAGTCACATAGCCAGTGTTGCTGAAGAATTCTAAGAAACCAAAAAAATCAGAGCAGTTTTGAAAGGTTCAACCCACCACCTTGATTCAAAATGGTTTGTAATTGTATCCAAACTTGCTCCTTAGTCCCAGGAACCATAATGCAAAACGTGGTTATTTTATCTTAATATAGCGTATAGCTGACAGACAAACCAACAGCTTCCCAAAATATATAGTAGACATCTTACCTTGACCAATATTTTCCCTTTCAGACTTTCTGGGGAAGGCAGTTTTGTGGGATCTTCATTGCTCACGGAAGACAGGTCCAGTTTGTCCCCCAGGATTTCAATAAGATACTGGGCCATCTTCTTCTGCTGCCCCACGCTGCAGTGGTTCTCGATTGACAAAATGACAGGGTACCTTTGGAGGAGGAGAGCAAAGCCACACAAGGAGAAAATGGTTCAGTTGCGCACCCAAAGTTTTTTTCTGTAATCACTTGCTGTTCTGCAGCTGTACAGCCACATTTCTGGTTCCAGTCCCAAAATGCCAAACACAAGAGAGTTCTCAGTTTGCACCCATGAGGATACCAACAATGGTGGTCACTAAGTCCAGGGAAAGCCAATGTGATACCCTCTGGATGTTGTTGGGTAACAGCTCCCATCCATCCCAAACATCAATAGCCAGTGGTCAGGGATGATGCGAGTTGGAAGTCAAACAACATCTAGAGAGCATCTCGTTGACTATCAGTGGCTTAGTAGGTTAGAATTTCATGTTTTCTTTTATATGAAAGCCACTTCCAAGCTTCTGTTCAATGACAAGGTTTCAAATGCCAATTGGCTGGCCACTGTGGGAACGGGATGCTGGACCAGATGGTGCCATTGGTAAGATTTAAATCCAGTATGATTGAGAGAAGGCAATGTGCCTGGATCCCAACCACTGGAGGCTGGTACGTTAGGGAGAATGGGGCATTGCTCCACCAACCTGTCTGCCTCCATACTTATAAGCAGTCCAGGGGGTGGCACTGCCTGTCGATTTCCTCTTCCACAGTCTCGGTGTTGCTTCTTATGGAACTCAGCAGGGAGGAGGAATTGACTGTGGCGCCACCTACTGCTGGGCTCCTTGCCTTCCAACCTACCAGTCCGAATGGCCAAGCTGGATAAAAGGCAAACGGAAGCCTCCTCTGTGCAGTGCACCCTAGCAGTCATCTCCATCTCCTTGAGTACCCTTCTTACCTCCTAAGAGTTAAAAGAGTTGGTACTACTGGATAATGGATCACATAAACAAAGCAATCAACAGGTTCCTTTTACTTCCAGTGCCCATCATTATCTCTAAACCTGAGCCAGTTTATTGTATGCAGCTTGTTGGCAGGCTCTGAGACCACCCTGAATATCCCTTAATTATCATGTTTATGATAGCAGCAAGCCTTGTGGCTTGTCCTCCTCTGCTCTCCTGTTTTGCTTAAATGTAAAAAAAAAAAAAGTCAAAAAATGCTCTTGCAAATAAAGGACTCTCAGAGTATTCAGAGGCGATAAAAACCTGAGATAGCGTCTCATAAATAAGGCTGTGGCTGAGGAAAGAGCTGAAAATACTGCCCAATTTATTCCCTGCACAGGCATCCAGGCTGCTTATGATCAGCCACCAGGCTACTTAAACAGAAAAGGAACAGAAGGACCTGCCTGAATTTAGCACACTCTGTGACTGTTTTCTGCTCACCACTTTCTTCATAAATCTGCACTTGGGTCGTTTTGCTCAGTTGAGCTGAATGCATGCATTGTTATTTGCACTACTGTCCTGAGAATTGTCTATTAGGGCTGCAGGCAGTGGTAAGGGCCAAGTGAAGATGTCCTCTTCCCCACCCCTTGCTATTTCACTGTCCCATTCACATACCCTCCCCGCAACATTTCTCTGATGGAAATAGGGACGTCCCATTCCATAATGATAATTTCACTATTTATGCCTCACACATCTTAATGGGTGGCCCCAGCCACTCTGGGCAGCTTCAAACATATATAAAAACACCATTAAACATTAAAAGAATGGAAATAGGGACGTCCCATTCCATAATGATAATTTCACTATTTATGCCTCACACATCTTATTGAGTGGCTCCAGCCACTCTGGGCAGCTTCCAACATATATAAAAACACCATTAAACATTAAACATTTTAAAAAACACACAAAAAACTTCCCTATACAGCAGTACCTCGGGTTAAGTACTTAATTCGTTCCGGAGGTCTGTACTTAACCTGAAACTGTTCTTAACCTGAAGCACCACTTTAGCTAATGGGGCCTCCTGCTGCTGCTGCGCCGTTGGAGCACAATTTCTGTTCTCATCCTGAAGCAAAGTTCTTAACCTGAAGCACTATTTCTGAGTTAGCGGAGTCTGTAACCTGAAGCGTATGTAACCTGAAGCGTATGTAACCCGAGGTACCACTGTACAGGATTGCCTTGAGACGGCTCAGGGTTTCAGATAACTCCATACCCTCCAACATTTCTCCAGTGAAAATAGGGATATTCTAAGGAAAAGCAGGACATTCCGGGATCAAATCAGAAACTTGGACGGCTTCTCTAAATCAGGAACGTCCCTGGAAAATAGGGACGCTTCGAGGGTTTGCATTCAAAGGTGACAAAATGGGATTCTAGCCGCATGGCCAGTAGGAAGGGCAGCTCTATCCCTGGTGCTGGCAAAGTTTATCACATCAGCTAGCAGATGCCATTTTGTTTTCCCAGACTACCCACAGACATAGGTTTGTATCCAACCAAGTCTCAATGGGCCAGATAATTAGTCTAGTTCATTAAATTCAATGTTCATTAGTCATGTTCATTAACTTTGATTAGAACTAGTGCTGGATACAACTCATTGTGAGGACAAAATGGCCGCTCCCAGTGCAGGCAGCTCCCCAGAGTGCCCTGGAAAAACACTGACCTCAGCATTGGGGGGGGGGCAGATAGCAGTGGTTAGCCTCTGACTACCACTGTTGCTAAACAGGCAGCAGCAACCAAAAAGAGGGGAGGGCAAAAAATTATCTCCACCGCCAGCATTCTGAACTTTTAAGATAATTTCTTTCACCTCCTGCAGATTTCAGCCAGAAGTAAAAAACCTTCAGACTTTCAGCTTGACCCTAGTGGGTACTGTGTATGTGCATTTTCGCATTTCCAAGCCAAGAAATACCCTGAACTTCACATTAGGTATAAATTATGCAAAGTGAGAGAAATTTGGGAAGTGCTTTTCTTTTGCATAATTGAGTCTGGTTCCACCAGTTATGGAGAGAAGCCCTGCTCCCTGAACTCAGCAAATTGTACTTGGGTTCTTAGATTCCACCAGTTTATGCTACCACACAATGTGCCAAGGGCATTTTCAGAAAAGAAAATTGACAGATTTGCCTGTCCCTAGCCCACAGATCATAGTTTGAGAACTTCCAAGAAAGAATGGGATGTATACAACTAAGTTCTACTCGGAATAGATTCACGGACATTAACGGACCTGAGTTAGTCATCTCCATTAATTCCAAAGGGTCTGCTCTGAGTAGGACTAAGCAATGGCTACAACCCAGGGTTGGGGGACAGGGGGTTGACTGTTTAACCTGAGAATTCTGCTGGTGTTTATATTTAGAAATATAAGCCACAAACACACAGAGAGAAAGCCACAGTCTCCCGCCGGGGAAGATTCATTAACCGGGTCTAACATCGCTGGCACCACACTGTAAAGGACAGACTTTACAAGCCAATCAATCAATCTCCTGGCTCTCTTTGGGGTTTCAGTATCTATTTTTGGATTCTCTGAGCTTAGGCACTGAAAGCGCTCCATATGGCTTGGAGCTCATCATACGGCTTTGAGAGGAAAAGTGGATTCAAGGTGAGACGATGGAAAGGCAATTCCACACCAGTTGCCCAGCGCAGGCCGTTACTGGTTATCATCTCCACTAAATTGGCCATGCCCGACTAAGCCTGCTATGTCCATACTGCGTGCTATGCACAAGGTAACAAAAATAAATAGAGGTGGGGGTTTTTGGCCAAAAGGCATGGGGCTCGGTACCTGTCTCAGCTCTGTTTACCTTCTTCACAATCACATCATGATGCATATAAAGCACTAAGAAGATGCCACTTTAAACAGTCATGGCTTCTCCCCCCCCCCAAAAAAAAATAATATAAAGAATTCTGGGAGTTGTTGTTTGTTAAGGGCGCTGAGTGATGTCCGGAGACCTCCAATTTCCTTCATGGAGCTACAATTCTCAGAGTGGTTTAACTGTCAACACCTCTTCACAGGGAACGTGGCCTGAGGCTGTGCACATTAGTAGCTTGGAACACAGCTAGGTCATTCATTTTTCTCAATTTGGATTGGAGCTGGTTTGGGGGTGGGGGAATGCAACAAAATGCAGCATTTCATAAGAAAACAATAGGATAGACACAGGATAGATATGGGTTGCAGCTAATGCCGTATGTGCATCACTTTCAAAACCAGAGATGGGTGGGCACTGGGTGCAGAATTAACAGGAGTGTGTACACAGGGTAAGTGAGACAGATGCCTGTTCGGACATCCACTGAGAAGATACAGTGGGAGAAACCAAGCTGTGTATGCTATCTTCACAATCTTCCACTGACATCTGGCAGTGTCAGGGCTCCCTCAGCATGAAATTGTGCATTTAGTGTGGCAGCAAAGGTACCAGAGTTATTGAACTCTCTCCCTAGTGAAATCAAGTTGGTATAATCCACAGAGCTTCAGGCATCAACTAAAGACTTGTCATTTCACCAAGCCTTCTTCAGAAAATGATTTATAGTTTTTATAGCCTTCTTGGCAGATCAACCGTTTTTAACGTTTCTGCTTGTTTAATGTATTCTGCTTGAATTTTCTTGCTTCCAGACTGTCGCTACGGTTGAGTTGGGATACCAGTCGCATGCAAGCACATTTGGGGCCCCACTATTATTAACTGATTGGGAAAGCGCAACAAAGCCACTTCCCCCAAAAGATCAGATTTTTTGCATGGGGGAAAGAGAGGGGAAATGTTCTGGAAAGCATGAGAAAGCACATGTGTTGATGCAACATCAAATAACCTCCGCCTAAACAAATCAGGGCAAATGCTCACTAAATAGCCAATGTTATCTAGCCTCCCTGCAAATAAATCAAAATGGATGCTCAACAAACAGCTGTCTGCAACTACGTACCTCTTTTTATGCTCTTTTGGTTTAAACTGAAATTCTGTGCAATGCATAGGTATGTTTTATATGTTTGTGCTATGGAAATTAGTAATAGTGCTAATAATTTTGGATTACCCTACACTCCTCTTCCTTGCTCCTTCCAGCTACAGCCTCATCCTTATCTCTGAACGCAACCACGACTTACTTCTGAGTCATATGCATTCAGGATTGCACTGACAGTATGCCTTCACTATGAAATTTAGACTTGTTTTGTAACAGTTCTGACTGCCACAGCTTCCAATCTCCCAAAGAATTCGCACAGCACATCGTTAAAAACAGTATATACTTTAGATAGTTTGAAACCGCAAATTCATGGGGGATAAGGTTCTCAGTTGCAACTAGTCACAACACAGAATCTCCAGGTTCAGATGCAGTCTACCTCTGAATACTAGTTGATTTGGAGTGGGACAGCAGGAAGGTTCAGAAGTTCTGAACAGTCTGCTTACAGGCTCCTTATTGGGTGAACCACTGTGGGGAAACAGGACGCTTAGCTAGATAGGCAGTAGCATCTGGTCCAGCAGGGCAGCTGGGGCACTGCCCCATCAACCTCAGTGTCCTCACCCAGCCCCAGAGAATGGCACTGCTTGTCTACTTCCTCTTCCTCAGTCTCAGCATTTTAAAACTCAGCAAGGAGGAAGATGGCGGCAAAACTAGAATGCCTGTCATTGGAAGTGGCTCCACCTACTGTTGGCCTCCTGCCTTACATCCTAGGAGTCTCAACTATAGATAGGGTTACAGACAGATTTTCTTGTGTTCCTAATTCTCAGGGCTTCTCCCCCCCCCAGCTGGAACTCACCAGAGCTCAGTTCCAGCACCTCTCAGGTGGGCGCCACTGCCATTCTAAAAGAACGAGGGAGGCATTCATGGTGAGTTCTGGCTCCTCTTTTTGTAGAAAAATAGCACTTCTAATTCTGTGCATTGTAGTCCAGTGAGGGTACTACAAATACCGTTAAGATATCCTGAGCCCTTCTGGCTTGCACAGTGAGAGGAGACGGAACTGCTGTCACAGCTTTAAGTTTGCAGAATCAAAGCACAGAAAGAGGAAAGTCACATAAAAGAGCTTATCCACACACTCTTGAAGTCAGTGCAAAAGCACTGGCTGCAGGAACTTACCTTGACACAGAGACCCATTATTCTCAGACAAACAGGACAAGTTAAAATAAAAATAAAAAATCTGGAAGGCATCCCTGCCCCACTTTCTCTCTCTGATTATCTGAGTGACTCTAGATTCAGAAGCAGCAAATCTCATCCCATCTGAGCAGGATGAATTTCTGCCATCTGGATAATGGCACTTTCGGAATTTCTGTCTCCTGCCTAACAAAATACCCTGTAGTTTGGAGGCCAAGCAGCTGGGTTGTCAGCTACCTGCTAATAAGCAGTCATGTTTTCAGTGGAGCTTGCCTGTCACTGGTCCATTATGTCAAACACCAATATCCTCCACCAATATGCTCCACCAATATCCCCCTGGCCTGCCTTCTTACTTACAAACAGAGGGAGCTGAACTAAAACTCCCATCAACCCCTGATCATTAGCCTTGCTGGCTAAGACTGATGGGAATTGTACTCCAGCAGAATCTGGGGTGCTGCATGTCCCCCATCCCCATGATCGCATTAGGCCAAGCTTTCCTGAGACTTTTTTCAAAGAGCAAGGGGAACAGCAGCGATAGGCTGGTCTTGAAATTGCCTCCCCCTGTGCTTCTTGGGATCCTTCCGAGAGTTAGCTAAGAAAGCTCGGGAAGACCAAACCTAGGACTCAGCTACACAGCTGCAAATAAAATGTTTCGAATGTGTTGTAAAGTGCAGGATACAAATGTGACACTAGATGGCGACAGTGAGCTATGCAAAATCCAATGTATTTTTCAAAACGTATTAAAATAAAGCATCTTCACACTGTTTTTTTTTTAAAATATGTGTGTAGATTCCACCCTAGAAGACCCCTTTCCCTTTTGCATGCAAATTTAAGCTTGGGAAGATGAAGCCTGGGGAGATGTGCCAATAGCCCGTACGACATCATCTTTTGTATGCCAATTTGCCCTTCAGGGGAGGGCTGGCTGATGACAACAAAGGCCTTTTAGGCCTCACCTTTATGGCTCAGATCCATTGCTGCTGGTATCCATGGAAACGGTAATTTCTGGTGTCTCCCAACTTGATTTATTTAACTCAGAAGCTTTGGTAACTACAATTGCCATGCATCCCATGGTCTTTAAGGATAATGGCTATGCATACAGGCTGTAAAGATAATGCCTACAGGAATCTAGTGTTGCCCAACTAACCCTCTTCCCCCACTGGTTCCTTAATTCGCAGGGATAAGTCTACTAGAGGATGTGGGGGGGGTGAGCAAGGAAAGTTAGATTGGGGGCAGGAGAGAGAGACAATATGGGGCCAGACTTTAATATGAAGACCTGGGGTGGTTGGGTAGACAGTGGGCTTGGCTCTTAATAAAACTTAGAAACTCCAAACCAGATTTCCATACACTTGCATATCCCAATACGGTAGTCTGTCCTCTCCCAGAACTCCCCCTCATCACATCAAGATACAAATACAAAATAGATGAATCATTCCAGTGTACAATGATGACAGTTGATCTTCCCCTTGGTACACCCAATTCTTAAAATATAGCACCCACACGGATACCTACTCGCTCTTGACGAAGGCATATTTGTTTATGGTCTCAATCACATCTTTAAAAAGGATCTTGGAGGTGAGGGTGTAGCCATGGTGGACGATAGGCTCACCGTCTGGCCCATCCCAGCAGTCAACTGCAAAGGGGAAGAACAAAAACAGGTGGTTTAGATTTAAGGGGGAGGGTTGTAATAAATCCATTAGCACGGTGAATGTTGTAATATCTGAATGTTGTAATTTGAATGTTGTAAGACCAGCTATGACATTAATCTGAATGTTGTAAGACCAGCTATGATGGTAAGCTCCTAACTCAGGCATAGGCAAACTCCGGCCCTCCAGATGTTTGGGACTACAATTCCCATCATCCCTGACCACTGGTCCTGTTAGCTAGGGATGATGGGAATTGTAGTCCCAAACATCTGGAGGGCCAGAGTTTGCCCATGCCTGTCCTAATTGGTTCTTTGTTCTTCTGAGGCTGTGATTTTCCATTTTTTAATATTTTGTACTTTCTTTTATGGTTGCTTGGCCGTATTAAATTTTTGACAGATTTCTCTCTGAAACTCTGGAGAGTTGCTGCCATCAGTGAAGGTAATACTGAGCTACACAGGCCAATAGTATATTTAAACCAAAACAAAAAACCTGCTATGGTGGACGAACATCTCTTCTTGTAAGGATGATGATGGGTAGAAACGAGAATCTATGGAACACATAAATGATTCCACAGTTGAGTTGTTGTTGTTTTAACAAAAGGAGATGGGCAATGGTGTGTGTGCTTTTGGTCCTTACCTTCAACGCAACGACATCCAGACTGCAGAACCCAAGAGTACATGTCAACCCTGGACTGAGACATCAGCTGGTCCCCCATGAGGTAGGTGTTATGAGAGGAGGTGATGAAGTAGTGACTCAAAGGGCAAGTCATGTCCTGGTTGACTTGGTAGTGCTCTGGGTTGAAGATATCCCCAGCCGGGCTGCGCATGTAGTTGGTGAACCCTATGGAAGGAAGATCACGTAGGCTGGATTAATGATGCAATTAACTTGCCAGTGGGGGATAATTGTTAGAGGGTTGGGTAAGGCCTAGGGAGGTCTGGGTCTAAATCCCCACTCCTATGCCTGTAGTGTTCCATGCAGGAAAATAAGTCAGCATTCCTAACCCTTTCTCTGGCTCGCCCACAGTCATGCTGAAGATATGTATTTTAATAATCAGTTGCATTTTAGGGGCAGCAGCACTGCAAGTAAGTCCCATCTTCAATAACACCACCATGGGGTGCGGAGCTATCCTTCTTTTCCAAGCAGAGGCTGGGTGAACCACCTGCTAGGGCTGTTGTAGCAGCAGATTCCCTGCACTGAACTATTTATTTATTTGTGTGACTTCTAAACTGACCTTGGGACGTGGGTGGTGCTGTGGGTTAAACCACAGAGCCTAGGACTTGCTGATCAGAAGGTCGGTGGTTCGAATCCCCGCGATGGAGTGAGCACGTCAAAGTGCAAATAGATAGATAGGTACCGCTCCGGCGGGAAGGTAAATGGCGTTTCCGTGCGCTGCTCTGGCTCGCCAGAAGCGGCTTAGTCATGCTGGCCACATGACCCGGAAGCTGTACGCCAGCTCCCTTGGCCAATAAAGCGAGATGAGCGCCGCAACCCCAGAGTTGGCTACGATTGTACCTAATGGTCAGGGGTCCCTTTACCTTTACCTTTAAACTGACCTTTGTCAAAATAGATCCCAGGATGGTTTACAAACATTGATCAATAAAACACAATTAAAATTATAGACTAGATTATTCTTATTATTCTATGATTAGATGATATTGTTTTTTTAAAAATCCTGGAAGGTAAAATTATTTTTTCTCTGAGCAACTCTGTCTGAAAATTAGCAGGCAATCTCAGAGATAATTTCTCTAGAAAACTGCTTGCTTTGGGGGGGGGGATCATAGACATTTAGGATCAACGCATTCCTTACAAGGTACTTTAAACTAATTTTGCACAAATGCACCCCAATCTGATTCTTATTTGGCAGGGGAACAGCCAAAATTAATTAAGGTGACATCCACAGGGCATCCATAAATTAATCTCAGCAGGAGGAGTGCTACCTTGGCCCCGCAACCATGGGTTGAAATTTGTGGGTGCCCAGCCCCTTCATGGGCAATTTTGTGAGTGCTCGGGCAACCAGGGAGTTGGCACCTATGCTAAGCAGATTAATTTGGAGATACTTTTGGGGGGGGGTTCCCTCCCAAAGAGTTGAGCAGTGCTTGGTTGAGAGATCACCCATATATTGGATATGCATGCATTACACTACCAACTTAGCTAAAGCATACTTTGTTGGTACTGTTTCCCCAAACCTGAAAACCCCGTTTGACGAGAGCCAATCGTACAACAAGCAAATGTGCATATACACCATGGGAAGTAATGCCTCTCTCAATTTCCTTCTAACTCTCTGAGAAATGGTTGTGTCCCGTCCCCTCCAATCTAAGAATTTGTCTGCACGCTTTCCTGTAGGGACTGAATCTCCCCCATGTTCCCCAAGGGAATTCATCCCAGATATTCAAAATGCACTTGAAGGAACTATAACCCCTACCCCAAGTACCTTATTCCAGACTGCAAAGGATACCAATGAAGCTCGCAAACAGTCCAAGAAATGGAGAAGCAGCACCATGGTCAGCTCACTGTGGAGCCAGTGAAAGCGATGATGGATGCCAGACACACAATAGGAGCAAGCTAGGATGTTGCTTCAGCAGTGGTCTAGAGCAGCATCCCCAACCTTCGGCCCTCCAGATGTTTTGGACTACCATTCCCATCATCCCTGACCACTGGTCCTGTTACCTAGGGATCATGGGAGTTGTAGGCCAAAACATCTGGAGGGCCACAGGTTGGGGATGCCTGGTCTAGAGGCCCATGAGGGCTGAAGTAGGTTGGTGTTTGTGGCTCCACCCCCCTCTGAGGAAGACTCTTGGGACTTTTAAAGGGCCCATGCCATATTCCTCAAGTCCTGGCTATGGTGGGGCTGGAGAGTCTCTTGCTCGGTCTAGATGTAAAGGGATAGGAAAGTGGTGCCCCTTGAGCTGTCAAAAGTTTCAAGGAGGCATCTTCAGAACTGCAAGTTGGGAGGGCTAGTGCCACAGGTTATGCAGGTGAATGTATTGTTGGCCCATGAGGTTCCCCCTCCCATAGAAGTGGTTCCCCTTCCTTCTTTATCTTCAGATACCACCTCTGACAGCATGAGCCTGCTTCCTAGGGTGATAGGTAAAGGTAAAGGGACCCCTGACCATTAGGTCCAGTCGTGACCAACTCTGGGGTTGCGGCGCTCATCTCGCTTTATCGGCCGAGGGAGCTGGCATTTGTCCGCAGACAGCTTGCGAGTCATGTGGCCAGCATGACCAAGCTGCTTCTGGCGAACCAGAGCAGTGCACAAAAATGCCGTTTACCTTCCCGCCGGAGCGGTACCTATTTATCTACTTGCACTTTGATGTGCTTTCAAACTGCTAGGTTGGCAGGAGCAGGGACTGAGCAACTGGAGCTCACCCCATCACGGGGATTCAAACTGCCGACCTTCTGATCGGCAAGTCCTAGGCTCTGTGGTTTAACCCACAGCGCCACCCGCGTCCCTATTCCTAGGGTGATAACACCCCCCAAAATCCATTGCACTGCATTTTCGTTTTCCTGCAAGTTCCTTTCTTCAGTGAGCTGGGGGTGGGGAATCAATCCTTTGTCCAAAGGGCTCCCACATTTTCCCACAGGAGTTTAGACCTGGCTCTATCCCACACACGGAGGTTATTCTGCTAGGGCCAGGTGCGTCACAGGCAAAGTAACCAAAATGCTCTATATTAAGGGACGATCAAGCATTCTGTTTAGAAAAATAATCTGTATGATCAAACACACCTTCTGCACATTCCCTGACATTTGAGCTAGCCAGGTCCATGGAGAATTAATTAAGCCGTGAAAGCCTGCCTCGAGAACTGAGCTGGGATAAGAAAGGCTACTTATGAGAGGGAGGAAAGTAACTCAAGTCTGCTTTTAGCAACTGAAACTTTCCCTCGGCTCATTCAGCAACCTTTCAAACAAACAGTCCCACCTGGGGCGACAGATGCAGATTTCGATCAGGCAAATCCTCTCCAGACCAGTTACACACGTTGAAAGCTCCCCACCCCCCCAGCCCCCAATGTGGTTTCTCAGACCCACGGGAAAACCAGGCTTAAGGTTTTAAAAACCTTCCATTGGGTCCTCCTAACGATTTGCTGTTGGCTTTTCTTTTTCAGCTGGGTGATCTGCACCTTCTGTGTCTCACCCACTCTACTTGGTTTATATATTTTCTAATCTCCCCCAACAGCATTTTGCTGTTTTGACTTTGTGTCTGCTCTTGGGCTGTGTGACAGCTTTGTCAATTTTTGTTGCTATAGACTTCCTAGCAACCGAGCTTGAAGAGCAAAGCTATTCAACTTGGATGTCTGAAGTTTGTGTGTGTGCGCGCGTGCCTGTCTTCAGGCATGTCACCAATACCAGTACATTGAGCTTATTTAGCAGCTGAGCTTTAGGTTTCATGGTTTCTGTTATCATTAAGGATATATGAGTCTCACTTAATCTCATCCTGAAATTCAAGATGTTTTGTTTTTTAGCTCTCAAATCAAATGCTTAAAACAGACACCGAATACTAAAACACTAGGAAAATCAAATTTATTGGTGTTCCTCTCTTCTCCCGGACAGTCCTTTCCTTGGGGAAGAAGGAAGGGAGCAACAAGCAGCAAACAGCTCTTTGTGCAGGTGAACCTTTCCATGTTTTCCTTGACTCAAATGATTCCTTGACACATACAGAGTGTCTTTCCCTAGCCAGGGACCATACGGTTTATAGATCAAGATTCCTGGCAGGAATTGATGCTGTGTGCATCATATGCAGGCAAGACAATGCCTTGCAGGATGTCTCCTGTGTCAAAAAGAGCCCTCTGCTTTCTGTCACCCATTCCTCAAGGCAAGGCTTTCCCTTCTCTTGCTCCACCCTTAGCTAGGGATGTTGGAGGTATCTAATAAAAATGGAAAAAGGAAGCCGAAATCGCCATGGTCCACATGTTCATCTCTGATCACGAATAGAAATCAGTCAAGCACACACAATTGGCATTTGTTCACACCATGGTTGCTGATTTAGTCTGCAAACGATAGCTAATAAATGACCTTTACCTTTTGCATTGTTTTGATGTTTCCTTTACATCGAAAAGAATGTAGGTTATGTTCAGTTTTGTAAACACAGGTCAGAATGGAAACCAGTGCCTTGTTATACACCCTTACCCCTTGCTATAATCAGAAAGGCCAACAATGATTAAGATAGCCACTTACACATCAACGCCCAAAAACGGCAAAAGAGAATGCCACTTTATATGAAATGTGCACCTGGTAATTTTTATAGAGAGGTTCAAATTTAGATATAATCACTGCAATTTAAATATAAATGCAATGCCTCTCACCATGGTGCAGAAGACTACAACCAGCTGACCTGGGTGCCTGATCAGTTGCTGTCCAAGGTGCTTAACTGTGGCTGGGTCACTTAACGCCCTCTCCTGCTCTTCCTTCTTAGGGTTCATGGACTGGCCAGCCCTTCAAACAGAGGATTTTCCTCTGCAAAGCAGGACGCATGGCCACCTTACAACCCCCCTCAAAAAATAATTACAATATTAAACTAAATAATCAACAATCTGTACTGCCTCATATGCAGGTAGATCTGGCTCTGGGCAGATTAACACAACCTTGCTAAGCTTATAAAAGTTGTAACTTCACTTGCTCCAATATTAAACTCAGGTCAAGGTAGGGTTCCAGAGGAACCAGAAGGAGGTATTGTCACGCTAGGAGAGAAACCATGAGGATTGTAGATGTACAAAAAAAAAAATTAAAACGAAAACCTGTAAAAGGGCACACACACCAGGAAAATAAATAACAGCAACCTAATAAGGACCCTTGCGCATGCTCAGTATGGAATGTTCGGCATTGAGAGGGGAAAGTGTTTATTTTAC